CCCGTGGCCTTGGTGTTATCAGCACCACACTCTCCCAAGTGAGCCACAGGCTGGCCCCTACTTGCTCTATTTCTACCCAAAGTTATGACTGGCTATGCCTTTCTCTAGGAAGTGTTTATGTGTTTGCAAACAATCTTACCATACAAGGAGTGCCACAAAGTACAAATAGTTCAAAATAGATAACTGTGGCTACCTTTACATTTAAATTTTAGATAACAAGATCTGTTCTTTTTCCATGTGCAGCCCAGGCTAGAATCAGTATGCCATACTGCTATTAGGTGAAGTAATAAGTATGCTTTTCTGGTCATTCTACTTCAATAATTACTTAATATTACCAGGCAGAGCAATTGGATTACAAGCGATAATCTTGTTTGACTGGGAACAAGTAAGAGGCCAACTCGTATATCTAGGGAGTTTCACCTTCATAGTTGAGTGAAAATTATCCTCCACTTCAAATTCAGTCACCACTATCATTCAACTCAGGACAAACTGTATGTGTATTTCTTGTCACTCAAGCTATGGATGCAAATACTAACGCCAATTCCTTTTCTTAAAGGAAAATTTAAAATCACCTTTTCAAGGTTAAAAACAGATGGCTCTCCCCTAATACCATTCCCTGGAAGGGGTAGGTTCAGGAACACGTATAAACCATCTACTGTGTGTCAGCTACTGTGCTAAGTTCTTACATGTGTTACCTCACTTAATTCTCACTAACCAACTCCCCATTTTACAGGTATTATTCTCCTCATTTTACAAATATTGAACCTGAGCCCAGTGAGGTTAGGTAACTTGCCTAATGAGGTACTAAGTCAAATGTGTCTACCACAGCATGCACTATAAAGGCAGGAGAAGCATCCAACATAATAACATTATCCATAGGAAAAGAAAATAGAGCAACAGCTCATATACCTCTTAGCATACTTGGGACAAAGCAGAAGAGCTCCTCTTCAGTATTACCTTGTTAAACAGTTTAGAGTCCACATAGTAAAGGAGTCACCAAGGGGACAAAGAGTCCCAGGACCTCTACAAAGCCAACGTATAACAATGGGGCAGAACTCACTGAGGGTGATGAGTTTATCTCAAGACCCAGCACTAATTGGAAGTTGGCACTAACTACTGCATTTCTGCTTCACTTTGGGTTAGTAGGGGTGACTTAAAAGCAGACAAAACTAAAACTCTCAAGATTTTCAAACTGATTTAGCCCAGCATAACAAAAAAAGGACTTTGCAATCCCTCTATTTTCAGTACATTTCAAGAAAGAACAAAGCAATACAAGGCAAAAGCACTTTGGGCATCTTCAGGTAGGTGGAAACTTGCTGCTATCAAACTAAGGTACCAACTGTAGAGCTTGAAAGAGCTGGTAACAGACAAGTGAGAAATATCAAACATTTGCACAGTACATGCTTTGAAATCTCAGTTGTCCCTTACACACTCCTTCAACCCAAAGAGCAAAAAATGTTCTTAACATTGATCCCCTAGTTCTCCACCTGCCATCAAACTGTGTTCTTGGTAGTTTTCACCTTCAAAATGTAACATAGGACAGGTAAGTTTATCATCCATGAAAATTATTTCCAATTCAATAGTAGGAACAGAAACCAAGTGGCCCTGGCCTGTCTGAATCCTTCTCCCCCAATCAAGCCTAGATCACATAGAAGTGTTTTTCACTTGAAGTGAAAAACAGGGTTTAATACCAGAAGATCCATATGGAATCAACTCTTTGACTAATAATGGTTTGAAAGTAAGATTTGGTTGCAAATTCAATACTGCTATATAATCATATTGCAATTTCAAGAACAACCTGTGGGAGCTTGCTGGGTTAACAGAAGGTTGAGAGAAGGCGGCCAGTGTGCCAGCTTGCAATTTTCTCTCTGCAGTTAGCTCATTTCTGAGTGCCAACTATTATGCCCTTTGCAAAAATGATCTCACAACAATTTCTCATCTTCATAATGCTCACTTCACAATATAAAGCAGAAGTTCAGGGTGATCTTCTATCCGGAAAGAGAAAGCCATTCCCTCCTTTGATATTTTCTGCACATCAACTACTAGGAAAAGCTACTTCAAAATTTAAATTCTAGTGGAAAAACGACTACAGATACTACATTGAGCACTTTTTTATCCGAAGGTGGGGTGGGGTTACATAATATTACTTTAAGGTTTTAAAAAGTCAGTCACAAACCTTACAGTGTTTAGGGAAACAAACTAGTACTTAGAAATAATGACCATTTATTAGATGTCCACAAAGGGTTATTGTGAAAAGAAACTTGTAAATAGGCCTGGCCACTAGGTACTGAAGGCTCAATAGAAAATATAACACAACACCATTGAAAGTACTTAAGTTTTCACAGATTTATAACTAAAATGGCTTCCTGAAGAAGTGGATCTGGAGCTAGGTATGAATGAGGAGAGTAAAAAGTGGCCTGATGGTGAGAGGCTGTGTGCAGCCTTTGGAAATGAAGATCCCTCACCTCAAGGTAAAGAGAAAGGGGCCCTGCAAGAAAAACTCTGACGAATGGGGATTAATGTCTACTGAGCACTTACACTGAGCCTGGTACTTTAGCCTCTTAGTTTAGTCCTAGGAAGAAGCAGGTGAGGAAACAGGCCCAGCAAAGAACTTTCCCCAGTGTCCATAGCTGCAAATGGATCAGCACCCAAATTTTGTAACCACTGTATCTCTACTGCCTCCATTACTTCATCTTCCACCAGGACTCTGGGGCTCAGAGACCCAACTTCTTAGGAACTGTACATCCCGAAGCTAGAATGCTTAAGTGTTTTCCTCGATGTATTTCAACTAAAAAAAAATTCTAACATGCATCAGACACTGTCCTAGAGACAACCAAGAAGCTGGATAACAGAAAGACGAAAGGGGAGAAGAATGCATTTAACTTAAGAAAACAGTTTTTAGAAGGAACAAAAACTAGTTAGTACCATTTAAAATTGTTGTGAACCACTCGTAGCAACAAGAAATGGCAGCTCTTACCTTTCTACGAAGGCCAGAAGGAAACCTACCTGCAACTTCTCGCCCTCCCCCTTCTTTGTCAATTACAACCTAAGTTTTTAGGAGCACAGCGAGGGGACGTGAGGTTTTATTCCGTTTTGATAGGGATTCACCGAGAAAGCGAACGGTCCGCGCTCTGATGTCAAGCCGGGAAGCAATAAAAACGTCTCTGAGGGACGCAGGACCACACACCGAGCCTGGGCTGGAGCGCGCCCCCGGGGACCCCGAGTAGTCCGAGCCGATCGGCAGGGCGCG